TGACCCCCTGACCTACACTCCATTCCTTGCAAAATGAATGAGGCCATCATAGTGACTTTTCCATTAAGACTTGGCCTCTCTCTAAGCAGAAACCTTGAGAACACCAGATAATCAATTTTTACTTAGGCCTTTCTGCAACAGTAGAATTTTTGACATGTTTAATTTTTATATTATTGATTTTAGAAAAGTTCATCTTAAGAAAAAAAATTAAAGGAAGGTTCAAATGAAAGCAAAATAATGTTTCATAAACACATTAGGTGCTTGCTTTCTCAAAGGAGATCCCAGATATACATGTAAAATGAGCTGGAGATGTAATCCATTATTTACTGGGCTCAGGAAACAATGAATTATATCTCCAGCTCTTTTTTTTTCACTTCTTTGTGGTACAAGGTCTCACTAAGTTGCCAAGGATGGCTTCTAACTTGCAATCCCCTTGCCTCAGCCTCCCAAATAACTGGGAATAGAAGCAAGTGCAACCATACCCAGACCAAATTATATTTACATGTTGTATTTTTCTAACCCTAGTAATAAAAAAATTAATATTATTATTGCTAAAAAATAAGCAAAAAGGAAAAACTTATTGGTAATTATAAATGTATACTTGGTTCTTGGAAAAGTTATACAATGCATTGCAATGAAAGAAGAAATACTAAGCTAGCTATATGAATATATAGTTAAATTATAATAAAATTATATCTTTTTGTTCATTTCAAACTACTAGTGGGTATCCACAAAGGGCCAAGTTCACAGGGTGCCATTGTTATTCTTTATGGAAGTCCTAATACATATAAACCACTCCATAGAAATTATCAAGAATACTCATACCAACCTGAATACTCGGGTGGTGTTGCTGTATATATATATATTGATTATAAAAGCTAAAGAGAATGAATAACTTGCCCACAATGACATGGATAGTAAATAATGAGGCTAAATTTCATATCTAAATCTGTTTGATTCAAAAACAATGCATTTAATATTGTTTTCTAGTTAATCTGTCTGTTGTGGACTACATGTTTGTGCAAAACACATATGTAGAAACATAATACATATGTAGAAACTCTACATGATGGTATTAGCAGGTCTTTGGAAAGTGATTTGAATTAGATGAAATGACAAAGGTGAAGGTCTTGTGAGTGCCACTCATGTCTTTGTATGAGTTGAGAGACAGCTTGCTTCCACTCTGGGCCACACGTAGACCCAACCAGAAGACCACTATATAAACCAAAAGATGAACCTGACCAGATAGGAGATCTGTCAGCACTTTGAGCTTAGACTTCCCAGTCCCCAGAACTATGAAGAATAAATTTCTGTTACTTCAACCACCCGGTGCACAGTGTTCTCTGACTAAGACATTAAAATGAACTAATGAAGGCTCTACTCACAGATAACTGAAAGATGGAAATAACTTCACTGTCCATCAACTAATAAATGTACACACTATGTGTGGCATATCTGTATAATAGAACACTATTCAGCCATAAAGAGAAATGAAATACCAAAACAAACAATATGACATAGATGAACCTCAAAATCATTACGTTAAACAAAAAGAAATCATTATGCTACATGGATTAAGCCACATATGAAAGACTATGAGCTATATATTTCTATTTATAGAAATGTCTAGAGTCATAAAAACAGCAGGGGGATTTCTGGGTCTCAGGAGCTGAAGGTAGGGGAAGAGGGTGTGACTACTAAAGGATACAGTTTCTTTTGGGAGTGATAAAAATATTATGGAATTAGATAGTGGTGATGATTGGGAAATCTTGTAAATACAATTTAAAATACTGAATTGCATGCTTTAAAGTGGTGAATTTTATAGACTATGAATCTAAAAATAGCTAATGCAAGTAATTTTGGGGTGGCTACAAAGATTAAATAAAGCAATTCCAAAGAAATGCTTGCCACGGTTGCAAAACCTATGCCACATGTTGGCCTTAAAAATGTCATGGGTGATGTGGGTAGTCACAGCCATGAGGCAGATTGAGCACTTCGTGCCCTTTGTTCTTTCTTCTAGTTCTCAGTGTCTGAAGCCTCAGAACTCACTCCCAACTTTAGTTCTCCACCTTGGTCACTCTCTCCATTGTCTTCTATGCCACCAACACTCCTTCCCTCCATTCTGTCTCCAAGCAAAACTGCTGTCCATATGTTCTTCTCTTGAGGATATGGGTCCTTCAGTGTAACCTCACGTGGCACTGCTTACAGGATACAAGGACTTACAGTCCATGGAAAGTGCATATATAGGAAATGCCAGTGCATGTGGGGTTCTGAACAAATGATTGATGGAGAAGAAAGGAAAGAGTTTCTCAGAGAACACATGAGAATCAATGTGAAAGTGAAAGCTGGTTTTGATGAATGGTAAGGAAGTCCAGCGAGGTTAGTTCAAGCAACCCCAATGGAGAAAAAAAGCCAAACCCAAGTATGAGTTGAATGAGTGATCTCCTAGGCCCCACTATGAAGTTTGCACTTCATCTCTGCTAAAGCACCTGGTTAAGAGAACACCACAATCAGAATTGTGTTATAAAAATTATTCTTGCAGCAATTAAGGGAATTAAAGAGTAGGGCAGATGCATAAAGGGAGTAGATGAGGCTAAGTCTGGTTTTGGTCATTTTAGTTGAATGTGCCCATGGAACTGCAGATGGTCTTTCTGGAAGGGGCTAGTTAGCTGAACTGGCAGCATCAGAGGGAGTCCTGGGACAGAGAAGGCAAACCCTACTGGACTGCAGAGGAAACACAAGTGTGGTTGTGATCACCAAGGGAAGAGGCAGACAGAGACAGGAAATAGGCCTTGGAGGCAGTTCAAGCCATTGCTGGCATTTGAGGGTGACACAGGGAGAGCAGGGTCTCAGCACAGAGGACACCTTAACAGCCATCATTGACAATCTGGTGTTCAAATCTCAGCTGTAGTTTTGTTTGTTTGTTTGCTTTCTAAAAAGTCATTTGCTTTATTCTCAAATTGCATTACCCTCAGAGTACTGAGACTGTGGCCAATTTTCAATGGAAACAGAGGTGGGACGGAGCTGGTAGGTATAGAGCTGGCAGCTAAAATAACCTGAACGTTTATAAATACAATCGGTAGAGTCCAGTGAAGGGGTAAGAGGATTTGTTTACTTTTCTATTTCATTTTGAAGTTTTTGCCATTTTTACCCCGTTGCAGAGGAAATAAGAGAGGTAACAAAGATTGTGCAATTTGCGTAAACAGCTACACATAATTGTGATTGTTCTATCTCAATTCAGAGCACAGAATATCTTCACCTCTATGAAGCTGGAGGCAGAACATAAACAACTTACCCGCTGAACCCAAATCCCCTCCTCCATACTTCCTTCTTGACAGTTTAACCTTCTTTTTATTGACTAATGATTCCCAAACATTAAGAAAGCAAGAGCTGAAAAATCTTTTGGCTATATTTTGAACTGTCTTTCCAAGAAATTATTTGCCTTTTCTGAAACAAAAAGAAAAACTAGTTTAAAATATTGCTTGTCTCAACATATTCAAATTGAACAGTGGTGAAGGAATACATTAAATCAGTTTTTAAAAGATATGCCCATTAAAGACACATTCAGACTTGATTGAGCACTTAAGCTCTTTGCGGTAAACTCCAGCCCTGCTTAAATACCTCTGATTATCACCTCTGATAGCCTGTCAGTTCCAGCAAAACCAAATATAGCCCCAGATTCCCACTTCCTCTCTGCCTGAGAATCCTGAACCAGGAACATGCAGCCATCTGGTTCCCCTTTGGAATTGCTGTGTATTGTAATATACAATCACATATGATAAAAGAAAGTACAGCATATGGTACAAGGGGCCAAAATATTTGAATGATTGCACTAAGAGCCACTTTCAGTTCACTTTCTACATGGACAGAGTAAAACTAAAAATTCTGCAAAGTCATTTGCAACAGTATATTTGTTTGCCCAGCATGACTGAATTTATAATCTGTCCTTTTGATGTTAAATCAGAAAGTGACAGTGAAGCAGACTGACCATAAATCAACAGGTTACAGCTAGGCCCTTCTGGCATTCTTCTCCACTCAGAGTGTCATGTCAACCAGCACATATTGAGGCAATTCTATAAATTGGGTTATCTAGGGAAGGGGAGAAGTGAGCAAGAAGAAAAGGAATGGAAAAAAAAAGCAAATGCAAAGAAGTTCTAAATTCCTGATAAAGATCAAGATGCCTCAGCTTATGTGATTTACAATTTCCACAGTTTCATCTACCCTTGTAGACAACTTGGCTCCAGATTTGTCAGGATATATGTTTTTAGCTCAGTAGCATGCAATAATAGCACGGTAGGACTGATCAATTTTGATTATCCGAGAAAACAGTCTTTTCTACAATAAAAGATTGTGTTTGCTTTTCAAAGCAGAATACTCATGTGTTCTTTCAACCCAAGACTCTTACATTAGCCCACTTTTACTATTTAGCAATTACTTAGTGCTTCCTACATTAGGCATTATTCCATGGGTTTATAAATACATTGATGCTTTTAATATAAATCATTTAATGCTCAAACAACTGAAAGGTTTGGCCCAGACAGGACACTGTAGCCAGGAAAGCCACAACCGGAAGCAGGAAGCCCCATCTTGCCCTGCCCCTAGGAAGTTACCTGTGACGCCATCTTCCCGCCCCTGGGAATTTACATATGGCGCCAAACCTAGGACCAATGGGCTACCTGTGTATCCCTAATGCCCGCCTTAGGTTCCACCCCAAACCGAGGCTATTTACAGGCCCCCACGCCGCGTGTCGGCCGGAGAGATCGCCGGACGCCAGCGGTGGGGGTTGCCGGTCATCTCTCTCCGTGTTCTCAGAATAAAGGCCGCTTTTTATTTTATATTTCTCATCTTTTGTTAATATTTTTCATTTTTTGGAAATAACTCTATCATTTGGTGCCGTGACTCGGATCGGCAGGCAACTAATTCTTGGGCCACATACCCAGAGTTTCCTCGCCGATAATCAGATAACATCCTGGATTAATCCAGAGCTTTTTCCTCTCCCGAGACGTTCCTGTCGCCAGCCGCCTGCACTCCGCATCGGCCAGACTGATTTCAGGTGAGCACTCCCCGGGGAACTTTTCGCACTGGGCAGCCCCAGTGGAATGTTCTCCCCGTCTGCGTGGGTCTGTGCATTTTCACGTCCTTAGGACCGCCCAGGGCAGGGTTCTTTCTGGGCAAACCTGCGCCCACAAAATCTCTCACGTTCTTTGGGTTCGGATAGCCCAAAGCAGAGATTTTTGGGACCGCCCACACTGAAAGAATGCCTCACTTCCCTTAAAGCCTTGCGCTTTCACGGGCAAAACTGTTACTGACCCCACGTAGACTCCATTCGTAAATCTCTCAGTGACGACTGGAGTTTACGGTTTGGAACCGTAGCTGCCGCGTGGTACCACAAATAAGTGACGACTTTTTTCTGGACCTCCGGTTTTTTTTCTTGCCTGAATCAGTCATGGGGAACGTATTTTCTAACTCCCAAAAGACGCCTTTAAAATGCCTAATTTCCAATTTACGTACTCTAAAAATTAAAGGTACCATAAAAACTAAACAACTAACTTTTTACTGCCAGGAGGTCTGGCCAACCTACCCGCTTATCGGCAAGCCTTGGCCTCGGCAAGGAACATTTGACCCTTGCATTCTCAGGAACTTGTATGATTTTTGTCAAGCTGGCAACAAGTTATTGGAACTCCCTTATGTCCAAGCCTTTCTTATTCTGAGAACACGCCCATCTCTCATTAAGTCTTGTGCTCTCGCTGAGATACTTTTAGCTAAGTCTACTGCGCCGCAAACTTTTCCGTCCTGCTCTCCGTTTTCCCAGCCGCCGCCTGCCTACCACCAAACTTGTTCCCAGCCGTTACCTCCCGCCAGACCGCGCTCTCCTCCCCCTATGCCCGATTCTCTCAGCAGCTCTAATCCCTCTCTGTTGCAGATACCTCCCGCTGTGCGATCATCTCCCTCTCCACCTTCCAGGACCCATAACTCTCCCAGCAGCTCTAATCCCTCTGTGTCGCAGTTATCTCCCGATGTTCAATCCTCTCTCCCTCCGTCTCCAGGGACCCATATCTCTCCCAGCGGCTCTGATCTCTCTGTTAGTGCTTCCTCACAGTCTCCGACTTCTCCTGAGAATTCTGTATCCCCTACAGCATTCTCACCACCCGCCCACCATACTAGGTCTCGGTCGCTGTGTCCTTCCAGCAGGTCGCATGATTGTTCCAGCTTGCGCGGGGAACAGTCGCCATGTTGCAACCCTCTGCCACGTGGCATGGCGCCGCCATGTTCCGGAGGGCCACATGGCGACAGGGCGCCGCCATGTTTCGGGCCACGTGACAGGGCGCCGCCATGTTCCCAGGCACCGCCATGTTTTGGGTCACGTGACAGGGCGCCGCCATGTTCCCAGGACCCTCACTGTCAACAGGCGTCTCCTTGTGGCTCCTCTTGTGAACTACAACAGCCGCCCTGTTGCAGTGCACATGACGCTTCATTGTGCTGCCGACAGCAGTCCTCTAGCTTCGAGGCACACAGTGAGACGCCATCTGCTCGTGTTTCCCAGGGTGACCGGCAGCAGCTCTGTAGTCACTCTACAGATGATTGCTCACACGCGCCTACTGGAAGGATGGCTGCTCAGTGGCCCTCTGCTCCGGAATCTCCTCAGGCTCTGCTACCGCTTCGGGAGCAAGCTGGCCCCAAGGAGCTTGTTAACATCCATGTGCCTTTTTCCCTTTCTGATCTATCCCAGACTGCCCATAAATTAGGTAGCTTTTCTGTTGACCCACAGAATTATATCAGGCAATTTAAATTCATTACTAATTGTTATGATTTACGTTTTAAGGATGTTTATGTGATTCTAGATACCTCTCTCATCTCACAAGAATGGAATCAGCTGTGGCAAGCAGTTCGAGAAAAAGCTGATCACAGACCTGAGGTAAACACCGCTGGTAATGACTCTAGGCCTATAGCTGTGCCAGAGCAGGACAAGCATACTAACTATAACAAACTTTTAAAACAGGTCCAGGAAGCTAATCAAAACCCAGCTGTGTTCCTAAATTGGCTTTCTAATCCTCGAGCCCTGCAAGCAGTTCCAGCTTTGCGAGCTGTGTCGGGCCGCCTCCCAGCCCCTCCCCCATGCGCCGTCCCAGCCCCTCCCTCCCCCATGCGCCGTCTCCGCCGCTGCCACCTTACACGTTTCCGGGGGCAGTCCGAGCCCGCCCCTGCGCGCTACATCCCAGCGCTTGCCCCACCCACTGGGCGTGCTCTGCCGGAGCGCTGCGAAACAGCAGCTCAGCGGCTCTGCTCAGGCATGCTTTTTTTTACAATTTGGCTCTGCTCAAAAGATGCTTTTTTATTACAGTTCTCAAACCATTTAATCAAGGTTATTGGCCACCTGATAATTTTACCAGCCTTGTTTATCAATCAAAGCCTTCACCAATCTCCTGTTTAACAACTAAGGTTATAAATTCCTTTTTGCTGGGAACCACTAGCTCTATTTCAAGATTTGTCTTGGTTCATACTACTGCAAATAACAACTTTAAAAGTAAATGTGTTCAGAATTTGACAGTATTAGATCAGTTTTGATTGATTTATTCATAAGATTGCTAAACCTTTACTGCAAAATGTTTCCATTAAAGCCTTGTTTGGCAGACTAAAGCTTTGTTAATTCTACGTGTCACCCTATAAAAAGCAATGTGCCATCCAGATAAAGCCTGCTCTTTAATCCAAAATGCCAATATTAAATTCCTGCATACTTACTTAATTGTACTGTAGTCCAAATCCCAAACAAAAAGGCAAAACTTGACCTTCAAACCTTATAGAGATCTTAATATGTTTTTTTTATATTTTTAACACTTGTGACACTTGGAGTTCTGAGACAGGTAAACCTACACAAGGTGGAGCTGCCTGCCCTCTCCATGGACCACGCTCAAATGCAGCAGAAGATACTGGGCAAGAAAATGCCCCATCCTGGCATTCTTTGAGACCTTACTCCAGGGCTACTGGACTGTCCTAGCCACCAGAGAGTGGGTAAGTCATCATAGCCCTCATAGGAAATGTCAACACTGCCAGATTCGTCACCGACAGAAAATCGCTGCTGGAGGCTGAGGGGGTTCAGGGCAACAACAGCCCCCTTTAAGGTGTCCGTCTCAGATTCCAAGTCGCACTAAAGTCTCAGGTAAGACATTCTCTATATTTGTGGACATAGAGGCCATATATACAGAGGTCTTCCTGAGTATTCAGGCTGCTATATTAAGTCCTCAATCTCTATGACAAGGTATTGATGGTCAACCTATGCCATTTACAAACAGGGCCTATTTTGTGCAGGTCCCAGTCCTAAATCTTAAAATGCCTTTTACTTAGACACACTGAGGCCTCAGCACCTGTTGTTGCTGGTGGACCCTTCCTCAGTGATATAGACCACCCCCCTCCTATTTTTTTTCACCAATTTCTCAGGTATCCCTGGTCAAGACTGACAGATACATTTTGTCTTCTCACTTTGTTTATACTTTTTCAGGAGACATAAAAGCCTTTCTCATACTTGCTAAAGTTCTGTTACAGCAAATCATTCCAAGGACTACAACCAGGATACAGCGACCCATGCCCAAATCAAAGTTGCTGGACTGCCATCCTGGTTTCACATCGCTCAGGCTAAGAGGTGCCCTTCCAGCCCTAAATCTGATCATTCTGAGTTGTCATCTCATCTTCTGTTGCCTACCCGTCTCCATCTCACAAAGGCCTCACAGCCACAGTTAACAGGCTAAGTCAAGTTTTGTTATCCAATTTGGTTCCTAATTTCTTACATTCTATTAATGATCATTTTTACAGCAGGACTCTTTAACAGTATTGCCTACAGACTCCAACATCATGCATACCAGAGACAAGCCTTACCAACCTACTGTCTTAACTTTTATGCTTTCAGATGGGGGTGTAATCACCTCTCATAACTCTCAACTCCACTCCTCCTAACCCCACGTTTAATTTTCAGAATTCTGCCTCACCATGGAAATGTTTCTACCTCAACATGGTCCTGATAAAATGATATGTCTAAATCAAAGGCACCTTTCCCTTTACCTCACCTGGGTCCTTAAATATGACAGTGCCATGTCTCCTCATAACATTTTGTCTCTTTGTTTTTCCAGTCTGACATACGTGCATTCACCAGTGAAGCTGTCCTGGCCAAAACACCTGGCACCAGCGTCTACCTGGGCATCAACCTTCATCCCGTCGACTCCCCAGGCTCCAGTACAGCGCCCTTTGCCAGCAGGAAGTAGTTAAAGAGAGAAATCTTCGCCCCTTTTCATAATAATAACCATAAGACGGGATATGAAAGGTTTGGCCCAGACAGGACACTGTAGCCAGGAAAGCCACAACCGGAAGCAGGAAGCCCCATCTTGCCCTGCCCCTAGGAAGTTACCTGTGACGCCATCTTCCCGCCCCTGGGAATTTACATATGGCGCCAAACCTAGGACCAATGGGCTACCTGTGTATCCCTAATGCCCGCCTTAGGTTCCACCCCAAACCGAGGCTATTTACAGGCCCCCACGCCGCGTGTCGGCCGGAGAGATCGCCGGACGCCAGCGGTGGGGGTTGCCGGTCATCTCTCTCCGTGTTCTCAGAATAAAGGCCGCTTTTTATTTTATATTTCTCATCTTTTGTTAATATTTTTCATCTTTTGGAAATAACTCTATCAACAACCACCTGACAGAAGAATAATTATTCTCATTTGCAATTGAAAGACTGGAGTCACCGAAGTAGCTGCCTGCAAAGCACAGAACCAATCCGTGGCAGATCTGGGGTTCAAATCCATCTTTTGAGTCATTTCATTAGAAATGAAAAAAAAAGAGATGGGCTTAGTTATTACAGGTAGAAGGGGCTATCTCACAGTGCGCACGAGCTGCCAGGAATTGATCCTGGGTCCTGAAAGCCTCAAGTCAGCAGCACGGATGAAATTTCTCTTTGCCTCTCTCAGTTGTGTCACTCCTTTAAGCTTTGTTCTGTAGCTCCCTCGATAATCCTTTCTCTCCCCCCCCCATTTCCACAAAATAACTGGGCTCAGTCCCACTCGGCTTGCAGTTCCCTGCACACTCCAACATTGCCTCCCCTTGATCAAGCTTATCCTTGTGAAACAATTAGCTGAGTATGCCCACTCACCTCTAGAAAGGGTTCCCCAATCATTCTCCTCTTTCTTATGTGCACGCCTCACCTCCCAGGAGGAGATGAGCCTACTTCCCTTCCCTTCAAATCCAGGCTAGCCTTGTGATTTGCTTTGGCCAATATATGAGGTAGAAGAGACTTCTGCGCCCACTGCTTTTCATTGACAGGTTTTGTTTCCTTCTACTTGGAAGTCAGCCACCACAGTAGAAATGTTAGAAGCCTGACTACCCTGATTGGAAGGAGCCTAAACCTTTACATTATGTTTCAAGAAAGACTAAACCAGCTGCACAGAAATAGAAAGGGTGTGGGAGGGAAAGAGAAAGAGAAAGAAGGAAGAACAGACCTAGTGGGAAAGCACCAAGGCCCCAAACACATAAGTGAAGCTTTTTGGGATATTCAGGCATCCCTACCTCCTTCAGCCAAATGAGTGACCCTAGCTGCCACCTGTGGAGCAGGAGAATCATGCATCTGAGCCCTGCCCAACTCCTTACTCAGGAAACTAAAATAAATGTTGTTTTAAGGTTCTAAGTTTGGAGCTGAGCATGGTGGCACACACCTGTAATCCCTGCTTGGAAGGCGTAGGCAGGAGAATTACTGTGGGTTCGAGGCCAGTCTGAACAGTACAGCAAAACTCTGTCTTAAAAATAAAAAAATAAAAAAAGACTCTAAATTTGGGGCCAGTTTGTTATACAGCAAGATATCAGTGGAACAAAGCATATCCTACTTTCCTAACAGTTTTTATGTAAGGAAACAGGAAGTTATGATAGCCAGTTAGCCAGGTGAAGATCCAGAGGATGCTTACCCTCAGGCCAGGAATGACAGTGGGGAAAAACAAGACATGCTGGCCATGTCAGGACCTGACCTTCCTTCCCATGGCTGAGCTACTCTCTTTCCAGTGTTGGTAAGAGTGTAGATGAAACTTCCACAAAATTATTTACATGAGATTTAAATCTGATGTCCCCACACCTCCTCTTCTCTATATCATGATTTCTCCCTTTCACTGACTGAAACCACAGGACCCATACCCCAACTACCAGAGGCAAGCGTGGCTAGACACATGGCACAGCTGATTGAAACCCCTTGTGCCTCATGCTACGAGAAAACAATTTGCCTTGAGCAGCTTCACCAGAAGCAAAATCAACACCCACTCAAAGTGCGAAAGCTAGACCTCCTTTGTAATCTGCCCCAATATCAGCCACAGACACTGATTTGTCCTGACTATATGTAGGGCCTATGCTAACAGCCCAGGATACAAAGAGATCACAACTGCAGAGCTTAAGTACAAATCAACAGAGGATGCAAATAAACACAACAACCATGAGCAGGAACACAGGCAGCATATACAAAAAGTTTAGGGGTCTTTTTGTAGAAACAGCAGTTTGAGAACTTGGACAGGACAGTGGGGTTAGTACAGAGATCGCTTTTGGAGGGGCAGCATGACCTCAAGTCTACAGTACAGCACTTTGGTTTCTTTAGTGAAAAAGATTCAGAACTCTCAGAAAAGATCTTCTTTTCCAAAATACATAATTGTTTAAATTATTTGAAGCTACTCAGAGTTAAAAGCACATCTAGATTAATTTAATTACATAGATAAAATTTCTCCAAATAATTACAAGCGTTCAAAGTCAGTTGCATGAACAGCTCTAGAAAGCAGACAGTTGGTGAAGAATGTAAGCAAGAAGATAGCTTCTTGAGAGGCATTGGGCTTGTTGTCAGAGAATGGGAAAATGACTTGAGTTACTCTTAAACAAAGCAAAGGAGTTATCAGAGGGCGAGAGCTCCTGCCATCCAGGGAGATATTGGATAGACCTGAACCTCAACTGACTCTTGCACCCCCTCTGAAGCATATAGCTGGTATGGTTGTTTAGTCCCACATTATATATCTTCATTTGATCTGCTCAGGGTTTTCTCTGAAAATCTCAGAGTTCATTGAATCTATCTGTGTGCACCGCCTAGAACATGAACCACTGAGCTTGGGACAATGTTGAACTAAGGATGGATGGTAGATAGTAAAGACCTCTACCTCTCGTACTTCACAGGAACAATTATGAGGCATGTTCTACATAATTCCCTAAGAGTCACTATTGGGCTTGCATCTCAGGTTTCCACAGCTCGAATCCACCCAATAATGCATTTTTTATTCAGTTTTTCACTCTCCTTTCCTCCCTCTTCTCACTCCTTCCTTCACTCCTGTTCCTTCAGTCACCTCTCAAATAAAAAATCTTCCCCTAAATCCTTATCACAGGCTGTAGAATCTAGGGCTAAGAACATGAGGCGGCTGAAAACCAAGGATAAGAAATGACACAGAGTAAAAGAAGAT